CCCCCCCCCCCCCCCCCTATTTTTGTTAAAATACATTTTGGAATAGCGATTTAATGGAGAATATGTGGTTAAAAAATAAGAAATTTTTTTATTTGCATGTAATATATTTTATTGAAAATGTATGATTAAAAATAAGAGAAAAAATTATATTTTGAAAATAATGAGAATCAAACAAGGCTTAAAAAAAAGTCTTAGAAATATTGAGTATCATACATGCAAGTAGAGGCGAAGTCGCATGGTGTCATATGTGATTAGAGATGGCAATTGGCCGAGCCAACCCATATGCACACGAGTTCGACTCGTGCTCGTCACGAGCTGAGCTCGTGGCTCGTGGGTCGAGTAGAGTTTCTGCTCACGAGCTCGTAAAAAAAATTTTTTTTTTAAGATAAACTTTTTAAAAAATAAAAAAATTAACCATTCGCCAAGACAAGCCGAGCGGGCTTAGCGAGTCAACTCACTTGGCTCATGCTCGAGCTCGTCATTTGATAAGCTCGAGCCGCCCACGAGCCGACTTTTCACTAGCAAAATGGCTGAGGCGACAAGCCGCTCAGCCCGTTTGCCACAACTGTATGTGCTTCATTGACCCAACAAAATTTCATTTTTACTTTTTTTTTTATAACTTTTCTCCAAAATATAAATTTTTATTCCTCCCATCTTTTAAGCACTGTACATGACTTTTTCCTTAAAAGTCTAAATTTAAAATCGCTTAGTAATTTCTCATTCTTCCCTAATATTTAGGATTTGTAAATTTCATCAAAATTTAATATCCGCCACTACTCAACTCGTTGACGCTGATGACAAGTACAAATATTTAGCTACCTGACCACCTCTTTTCTCATCTCTCAACCCATTGTTAGTGTTATGTTGTTTTAGAAAAAGAAAAAAAAAATTACAACTTACCTTTTGACCCTACTGTAAAATATATCTGACTTTGCTACTGATGCACGAATACAACATGATTGGCTTAGCTTATTGCTAAAAAATCAAGCCAATCATGCTCACAGTGCATTCTTGGGACTTTTGTGTATAATATTCATTTAGCGAACTTTCAACAGTAAAAGCAAATATTCCTCGTTATTCGACCTAAGAATAACTTCCATTGTGTAGATAAAAAATGCATTAGATTCGAATGTTTGACTCTAAGATGTTGTAGTAAATTAAGAATCTAAATCTAATCGGATGATTTGGTAGGAAATTTAGTAGTACAATTATGTTTAAAATGGTAAATTTTCATATGCAGTCATTGAACTTCCAACAAATTTATGAATTAAGTCAATAAATTTTAATTTGTTTCAATTTGTCCGTGGAACTTTTAATTTAATTTTAATTAAATCACTAAACTTCAATTTAATTTTAGATTTCACCGAAATTGATCAAAATTATTATTTGATAAAAATGTTGTAATGAATCTTTTGCATAAGCATTGTGTCGTATGTAAACTTATCACTACGTCACGACATAAAAATACTAAAATTAAGAAAAAAAAAATATTTTTAACATTTTTAGTCGGAAGACATTATCATATGGCTCATTTTACTTTTTCGTTCCAAAAGAATGTCACATTGCAATTATATAGATTTTTATCGTACTGCTGACAATTAAGCAGAGTGACATGTGATGTAATGTGACAAAATAGTGAACTTTAAAATTTAATCAAAGATTAATGACTCAATTTAAATAAATTAAAATTTAATTCTTCAAAACCATTATGGCTGCACAGGGACATGTTGAAAAATAAATTTAGTAAGTAATAATTGTCTCCTCTCTAATCGTTTAAATTTTTTAAATGAGGTGGTTCAAAAATAATTACTGAGTGCAAAATAGATTTTTCTGCTCCCTCGATGCAAATTCGTGTAATATAATATCATCAAATGGTATTAAGTTTATAATACTCGAATTTTCTCAGCTAAAGTTGAAAACATTCTTCTACCACTAAAGAAGTGACAAAGATAATTAGTTGTAAAGCTATTTACTTGACAATTCTTTTTTAATTTGTAACTTGAGAATTTGGTAAACTAGCTAGCTAGATAATAATCGAACTTCTTCGACGACTGGGTTATCGTTGCATCAAGAATGGAGTTGGCTAGCTCTTCATTCAATTTGGGAAGTGGAGGCATCATCTTCATTGTTGGAGTCATGTCGTTCAAGCTGCAAATTTCACGCTATGAATAGAAATGGGATTGATAATGGAAATAAAAGCGCAATATATCACTAAATAAAATGGAAAAAAACACGGAAAATAGAAAACAGCATCAAGATTCAAGACGAGGTTTGCTGCGTACTTGTTCAAGATTTTGAAGATGTTATCTCGAGCTTGTCGCAGTAGACCGATGTTCTCATGTAACTGAAAAATAAAGGGCAGAGAAAGAGAGAGCATCAGTTCACGTATCTCAAAAGTGTATATGCAGCAACTAGCTAATTGCCGACATAACATCCTTGCCTTGTGTATTTTTCAACTAAACCTTAATCCTTAAATCTGAAAGCAATAATAAACACAAGAAACGAAGTTTTGAACGAAAAAGAACACGTAGATTTATAGTTCACCTTTTATATGAGAATTATATCCCTCGCTGTTGCAGGTTTTACACATACTCGAGAAGAACTTTTGACAATGGGAGATCTCACCCCTCTCTTATTTTCTCAAGTACTTCCTATTTTAAGGTAGGAAACTTGGGGACTCGTAACAAACAAGGAATACCCTATATCCCTATAATAAAAAAGGCCATATGATCTGACGACTCAGATTTGTATTCTATTCTTGTAAACGTAAATCCCACTAAAATACAAATCTGAACATTCGAGTATAAATTTTTTTAACGCCCGAAGATGCGCCTCAGCCAAATCTCAATAAAAGGGGACGAACTAGCTAAGGTTTATGAAGTCAGAAAATGTATTCGATATAATAAACTGAATATACAAATGCTTCACCTGATGAGTGTTAAAATTTGCAGATATCTGTTCGAAGGTCCAAGTGTTCTCCTGAAGAAGTAGCCGAGTCACACTCTCGATGCCTATAAAGAACGAAAGTCAGTTTTAAGCCAACATAAATTTCCTGAGAATTCATGTTGCCTGAGAATTCCACACTTTCCACATCATTGAATGGACAAAAACCATATAGAAGAACGACCAACTCAAAGGTTCTACGAATATTTCACATCATGCGTTTACGTGACGCAAACAAATTCAAAATAACTCGTATCATCTTAGCAAATGTAGATAAGGAATAGGTCAGTATAACAAGTGAAGAAAACAGCTCAAGATTCTGAATTATATAATGAAGGAAATAAAATCTCGGGATTCGACAACAAGAAAGGAAACTACGTGCAACGATAGAAGAACTTCACATGTAAAATTTAGTTCATCAAGAAATTTGAGTACAGCCATTACGAGAATATTTCATATCAGGGAAAAAAAGGACATAGTATTTCATTATTATTAACCAAATCAAAAAACTACGATGTATCAGAAGATATGACTAACCATTATAGAAGACGCTATCACCATTGTTATTGTTAATCATTCCTGAAGCATGAAGTAAACTCGGCTGCTCTCCCAAACGAGATGGCTTTGCTAGAGGATCGACGAACTTATCCTGAGAAAAGAACTTTAACATTCCCTGAGCTTGGAGTGTACAGAAGTGCATGTTTGATAGTAGGTATTGAAACATTGAACATGACAGAATTATAATGTGTTTAATTTTGAGGAGAATAAAAATTTTGGAATGAATAATGCTAAACGACCCGCATGGATGACCGCGGGGATGACCGCATCCTCACAACCGAGGTGAGGGTCCCACATGAATAAAATAATCCCAACCCCCCATGTGTGTGTGCGCGGTCAACCCCGAGGTCATCCACGCAGTTCGTCTAGCATGGTCCTTTTGGAATAGTGATTGATGTGAGAATGTGTGGCGGAAAAGTGATGAAAAGTTTTTGATTTGTATGTAATATTATTTTATTTGGGAATGTGTGGTTGAAATGAAGAATGAAAATGAGAAATAAAAGGGTGTCAAACGGGGGCTATATAATGAATAAGATTTTAACGTATTTTACTTCCTTGATAACCTTAAGTTACTACTCACTCCTCCATACCAAATATGTCACTTATTAAAAGTATGCATGCAGAAACTATGGAGTGAATTACCTATTTAGTCACTGAACTTTAAGCCATGCACGCAAGGGGTCACTGAACTTTCAAAATAATGCAATTAGTCACTGAACTTTACAATTCTTCATCCCATAAGTCACTGAACAAACGGCCGTTATAAATTGGACGGAATTTCCACGTGGCAGTGACTTATGGGGTGAAGAATTGTAAAGTTTAGTGACTAGTTGCGTTATTTTGAAAGTTCAGTGACCCCTTGCGTGCAT